ATCGTAGATAATCTTTTCGAGCATATTTCGCGCCGAGTTAGATAAAGACCTTCGTGAGTACGAAAGACCTCGAGACCCAAAAAATATGTTAAATCACCAAGGTCTTTAATTTTGAACTTATCATCCAACATGTTCTTTAAGCTATTGATGATCTTTCCGTCGATCCCCGAGATTATGACATCATCCACATAAACCAAAATGGCAAGAAACTAATCCGCATCAATACGAGTGAAGAGAGAATGATCGCATCGAGACCGAATGAAGCCACTGCAAGTAAAGTGGAGGAAAATTTTGAGAACCATTGCCCGGATGCTTGTTTAAGTCCATACAAGACCTTAACTAGCCGACAAACAAAGCTAGTGGCCAACACCGAAACAACAAAACTTGGAGGAAGCTTCACGTACACCTCCTCATATAATTCATCATGCAAAAAAGCATGATTAATAACCAATTGAGCAAGGACTCGGCCCTTAGCAACTGTAATAGTCAAAAGTGTCCGAACAAGTGGTCATTTTAGTCACATGAGCAAATGTGTCTTGATAATCAAGACCTTCATTCCGATTGTACCCTTTGACTACCAAGCGGGCCTTATATCGCTCCACGTAACCATTGGCCTTGTATTTCACCCCGTATACCCATTTGCAACCAATAGCTTGCTTACCAAAAGGCAAATCGTTGATGAGCCAAGTCCGATTGTCCTCCAATGCCTTAATCTCCAATGCCATTGCTTCTCTCCATTTAGGATTTTGATAGGCTTCGAGAATAAGATGATGGTTCAATATGTGTATAAATATTAAGGGAAAAATATTGGTATGCAGGAGGAGTGGAATGTAGAGAGATAAAATTAGACATGGGATAGAGACAATGTGAAGGGGAAGATGACAAAGCAGAGGAGCATATATAGTCTTTCCGCCATACGAAGGAACTCTAAGTCTAATTGAAGTGCGAGACACAAAAGGAGAAGATATTGAAGTATGGGAATCGGTAATCGGGCAATCGGAGGGAGAATATGACAGAGTAGAGAGGGACCGACAGGAGGCAAAATGATGTTATTCCTAGCCTCGGGATGATTAACAAACTCACTAAGATTAGAAAGAAAAGAAAGTTGATCATTCTTAGTGGAGGATTTAGACATAGTTGCAAAAGGGAAAATTGATTCAACAAAATGAACATTACGACCGATAAAGAATTTTTATGACTCCAAATCATAAACCTTGTACCCTTTGTGACCATGAGGGTAGCTAAGAAAAACACAAAAAATGGCTCGAGGAGTAAATTTATCCCTATGATGAACAATGGTAAAGACGAAACATAAACAACCAAAGACTCTCAAATGACCATAATGAGGGGGAGATTGGAAGAGAACTTCAAAGGGTGATTTGTTGTTAAGAACATAGGATGGTAATTTGTTAATGAAGTGAGTGGCGATCAACACACATTCTCCCTAAAATTCAATAGGCAACGAGGCTTGGAATCTTAAAGCTCAAGCAATCTCAAGGACATGTCCGTGTTTACGTTCGGAATACCATTTTGTCGAGGGTGTAGACACAACTTCTTTGATGAAGAATGCCATTGGTGAGAAAGAAAGATTGTAAGGTTTGATTGACAAACTCGTAACCATTATCGATACGAATGATGTGAATAGAGCTATAGAATTGATTTTGGACCAATTTGCAAAACGATTGCAATAAAGAAGAAACCTTACTTTTGGAAATCATCAAATAAGTCCAAGTATTTCGAGTGAAGTCATCAACAATTATGAGAAAATATCTAAAATCGTTATGGGTTGCAACTTTATAAGGTCCCCACACATCACAATGAATAAGATGAAAAGTCGTGGAAGATGAAATATCTCATTTATTGAAAGGTAATCCGGATTATTTGGCCGGATGACAAATAAAACAATCTATGTGTTTTGCATCACATAAATCTAGAATGATTGAGACAAGGTGTTTAAGTTTGCTAAAAGAAACGTGGCTTAACCGATGATGCCACAATACATATTTGTCTAATGTAGTTAAGATAGAATTTTAAACAATTTGAGTAGAATAATCTGAAAGTATGGACTCATGTTTTGCGAGAACGAGCTAAGAAAATATAATCCATTAAGTTGATCGCCAATTTCAACAATTGTCTTCTGCAAATGGTCCCGCATATGGCAAAAATTGGATATGAATGTGATGATGTAGGTAGAATTCCTAATGAGTTTGCTATCGGATATGAGATTGTGTTTGAAAGTTGGAACAAACAAGACATTATTTAAGGTGAGATTAGAACGGAAGGTAATAGTTCCTGTGTGTGTGACATATGCTACTGGAACCATCCGGTAAATGGACTAGATGAGGAATATGCAACTTAGTAGGTGATTGTAAAAGAGAAAAACAATGTGTGATGTGGTCGGTTACACTACTATCTATGATCCAATCATAACGTGTATGAGACATTGATAGGCAATGACTAGTACTCGTCGGATGATGAATTGGTGTTGGAGTAGATGGATTTTATTGAGCAAGAAGATGTAGGAGTTGATTTATCCGGTCGGGAGTGAAGTGATGGTTAGATCGAAGATGAGCAAGTAGCATTGGTGTCCGAAGGCATCGAAGTTATCCCAACATTAGCACACCTACTATTTGAACCTTTCTGAAACAAGTTCGTTGAACGAATTGCTTGATCCTTTTTGGATCGAGTTATCGGAGGAATTTCTATGATTCAACCGATCATTGTATTCCACATTATGACTTTCGTGTCTTCCGTAAATTTCCTTGAGCAATAATAGTGTTTCTTCTTCCTTTTGGTTTGTAGTTAAGTGGATAACCATACAGTTTGAAGCATTTGGCCTTCACATGCCCTTTCATTTGACAATATTCACACCACAAACGCTTCTTAATATTAGCGTTCCACATCCGACTCCTCGAATCCGGCTTGTGTTGTTCCCGATCAAGAGAGCAGATGTTATATCCTCTATAGGCATAAACTGCGAAACCTCCATTTGTCTTTCTTCATGTTGAATCATAGAGTATGCATCTTCCACACATGGAAAAGGCTTCATCAATAAAATTCGACCTCTAACCGGTTTAAAACCGTCGTTTAATCCCATAAAAACCGCATCAACCGTCGCTCATCCTTCGATCTTCCCATGCCTTTGCACATAGACACCGTACATTGTCTCCGCATAATGGAATATGAGTCATGGCCTCCAACTCATTCCATAACTCGCTTGAGCTTGGTGTAATAAGTTTCAATGTTCATGTTATCTTGATTACAAGATGATATTGCTTTACGCAAACCATATATCATAGTACCGGTACTATGTGAGAAACATTTCTTAAGATTTAGCCACATGATAGCTGCAAGATACTACCATGGAGTATGGATTTTCCAATTTTTTAGAGACAACACTAAGTAACCAAGATATCACCATGTTGTTGACTTGCTCCCATCGTGGAAGATTCGGATCTCCTTCTCTTGGTTTTGGAATATCACCATTGATAAAACCAAGCTTATTTTTGCAAGCAAGTACGATCTCCATGGATCCGTGCCATAGAATATAGTTCGAAGCTTCGTTAATGATTGATTCACAAGAACCATACCGAGCACATATGAACTCATCAATTGCAAAGGATTGGATGTTATCACGGATGTTGTCGAAGAATCACTATTCTCGTTTGCAAGAGTCATATTTGAGATGCGTAACTAGATCAAATGAATCACAAGCAAATCGCTTAATAATGATCGATCTTATGCTCGATACCATGTTAGAGACTAATATAAATTATATTAAAGGACCATCTCACCTAAAAGCTTAAGTCGATAAAGTGAGGCTCTAGAATATAATTTATACTAGTCTCTAACAATGCTATGGTTTTGTTTGTTCCTTTTTTCCCTTATTATTATTATTATTATTATTATTGGTGTTATGTGCTTATAGATTGGTAGGGATGTCATGCAAACCTAAATAGCAGCTTTGTTAGTTAGCTTAATCGCTTTGGAATTTAATAAGGGTCTTATGCATTATTCTCAATCAGTATGTGTTTACTTCTTAGTGGCTATTTTGGCTTGTGTGTAGTGCAGCAAATGCCCACTCTCATCGACTCTTCAGCTTTTTCATGCTTTGATTGCACCATGCATGCCTTTTTATGGATCGTTATTTGATTGGCTAATTTCAACTATTGTTGGTTCTTGCTTGCTGTCCAATAAATTTTATTTTTATCTACTTCAGTTTTCAAAATCTAATTTCAATTTTCTCAAAGATTGTAGATTATTTTGTTTGGCAGGTATATCTACTTGCAAGATTTGATTCGCTTACCATAATAAATAAAAATATTTAGTACATTCCACAATAAAGAAGCTTTTCAATGACACAAGAACCGCCCGTCTTTTTAATTAATCCAATACATTACAGGCAATATGAGAATTTTATATTACTTAACTAATAATTAATATTTACTTTGTAGAGGAGAAATAGATTTTAAAAAAATAGAATAAAGAAAATTGAAAAAAAAAATTGAACCCACTTAGGTTCATTTTTTTTCTATCTCTTATTTCCCTTTTTTTATACCTCATTTTTTTAAAAAATAAATCTATTAAGTATTATTAATTATTTTTTAAAAGGATTTAAAATTTCTAACTCTACTGAGATGGTTTTGCTAGTAGTATTTCTACTTGAGCGCTTAAGTCTTATTCTAATTAGTTTTTTAAACTTTTTTTTTCAATATGTTAAAGTTATACCTTTAAATATAATTAATAATTGATTATTCTGTTCACAATAATCATTAATACTAAGTCCTTCCAAATTAACAATTTTTTTCTTTTTTACTATAAATTCTCTGCAACCTATAGAAAAGATCTTACAGCCCATTCTGCAGTCCATGGATAGTATACGTGGATCAGGCCTGTCTATTAAAAAGGTCCAACGGGCATTTTCATATGGCTTAGGAAATGGGTTTATTTTTAGTGGTGATATTTGGAGGTTAATCTAATCTACATAGAGCACAAAGAAGATGATGGAGTACTGTTCGTGCCATCAATGTTTTCTGGTGGATGATGGACATGTCAAGAAGCTGTTGGGCAGACAAGTGGTTTGGTCAGGTTAGGTGCAGGTCACATTTCAATTCTCATATCCCAACTCCATACGCTAATTGGTCCAGGTGATAATCTCCTTGATGCATGTAAAATGTATATATATCACATTCACTTGATATGTGCCAAGTAAATATTAAGGTATAGTTAGATTATTAGAAATAAAAATTTTAAAATGAAAATTTAGCAACCGAAATTAAATTTAAAGAATCGAAATTATATTTTTATTTAAAATAATAAAAAAATTAAAATTTTAATATATAATTTTTACGATGAATAAGCATAATGATTAAAAAATCATTTCATTAACTATGATGATGCTAAAAATAATAGAGGCGATTATGTTAGTAATTGTAGAGAATTAATAGCAATAATATATTTTAACAAAATATTGATGCAACCATCATAAGAGGTGGTGATGTAAGAAAAATAATTGTGTTAGTGGTAAAATAATAATAATAATAATTTTAAAATATTTTTCTTATCATCATGTGTGTGTATATATATATATCATTATTTTGAAGAGAAAAAAATCTAATTTTTTTCCTTTTTATTTTTATTCTCACCTCTCCCCACAAGGAATGAGAGTATGCTTATTTTTCATTTTTATTGTTCAGTCTCATTTCTACTTTATTTTTTTTTCAACCATATACCTATAAAATAAAATTAAAACTTCCATTCTCATTTTTATCATTCCATTGCTTATTATCAAACAACACCTAAAGGATTGATCTAGTGGTAAAAAGAATATGCTTAATTTTTTAATTATTTGTGTTTACATCTTGAATGGAGTATTAAGAAAATTTATTAAATTTTTTTAAATGCACCAAATTGTAATAGAAAAATGAAGAATGTGTCTTTAAGATCGATTGCCCACTGAAAAAAAAAATTCTAGTTTCCATTGGTACATAAACTATCTTAAAATACCTTTTATCGTTGAATTATATATATATATATATATATATGTATATATATAGTTTTTTTTCTTTTCTTGCTACAAAATGGGTAAACAGCGTTAATTTTTCTCTTACTCGATAGAGTAATTGATCTCAAGCGTAAAGGTTTTTTCTTTTCTTGCTACAAAATGGGTAAACAGGGTTAATTTTTCTCTTACTCGATAGAGAAATTGATTTCAAGCTCTGACACTACGAATCTGAGTTTCATGTTCAAAGATTTTGGTAGGGTTTCATATTGTTCCAAATTAAAGCCTGGAACTTATGAGAAGTACTAGTTAGGAAAATATGAAAAAAGGCAAGTCCCATCAGCGGATATACGGGGCCAATCAATAATAAAATGGATGAATGCATTGGTTAGCTTAGGCTTTGATGATGCCATGAAATGTGAGGTCCATACAGACACGAAGGCAAGCTCCTGCAAAGTTATCTCTTATTTCCTATTCTAAACCCTACACATTGCTTTCGCTTTCTTTACTTGTCCAGTCGAGAGAAAGAAAAGTCATCCATACCATGCAGGTATTGGTACCACAAGAAAACTAACCTACATATTATAAGACTAGTAAATTATAAATTCGTTCCTCTTGTTTAGAGAAACCCATTAATTAGTTTCGTTCCTTTTAAAAACTAGTCATTTAATCTCTCATATTTTAATTTCTTCAATAATTTATTGTTTTATTGTTTTCTATTAAATTAGTGATATTTATTCTCAAATTGTCATTTATTTTATTTTTGGTTGAAGAAAAAAAAAGAAGGGCAATTTGAGAGAAAAAAATACTAATCTAACGAAAACTGATGAAATGAATAAGTTATTAATAAAATTTAAACATAAAAGACTAGATTATTAGTTTTTTTAAAAAAAAATTAATTAATTCATTTTTCGATATGAGAGGAATTTATTTATAATTTACTCATTATAATTCACTTGAGGTAATAATAACAAAAATAGTAAACCCGACCTAAGCCTATGTTAATTAATTATGAAAACTGATGTAGATATGATTCATAGTTTAGTATGTTATGTAGAATTAAACTTGTCAAATCACGTAAATTTTTATATTGTGTAATTATTTTTTATTTTTTTGTTTTATCTTTTTTTATTCGTTTTTTAATAATCTACTAGTAGTAACTTCTTAAAATTTTCAATATCATGTGACATGGTTATAGAAAAGTCGTAGAGCTATAATACCATTTTCACGCAATACTATATTTGTCTTATTTTAATTTGAATTAAAACATGGTTTCTATACATTTATAATTTCCCATTTGATTATAATTATGTTTTTATTGGAAACAAAATGAAAATCTTTAAATTATTTTTTGTTAAGTTATATTTATTAGAATTTGATTGAAAATATAATAACATAAACAAGCTAAAATTATTAATTTTTTGGGAACGCCACAGCTACTTAATGGAATTATAGATATTCAGCATATAGAGTAATCCCGAATGCCCCAATTAAGCTTACCAATTTTATTTTATATTTTCTTATATTAGATGGAGGAGAGATGGGTATAATTAAATAATAATCATTTTGTTATTATTATTATTATTATTATTTTAAGGAAGACGGATTTTAGAGTGCGTGGTTTCTTTACAAAGACATTTAAACAAAATGGAACCAATATATAATCACAATTTTTGAGATTAATTGATATATATATATATATAAGCAAGAAATATAAAAAATTAAATGAAACTCTTCAAATTACTTTTGAACTCAGATTAAACTATGTGTTATTAATTTTGATAAATATGCTCGTTCAATATATATATCAATCCGAAATATTACCTCAAGCTTTGCTGTTATTATTTTTTAGTTTTATCAAAGAAAAAGGGTAGCTTTAATAATCTTTTTCCTTTAATTTTATTAGGGAAGGAGAAATTCAAGGGTGTAAGCCTATTTGGTTGTTAATTTATAAGAGAATTTTTAACGGATAAATCGATTTTAATTGGCTTTGATTAGCCAGAAATAGTAGTAGTTCAATATATTCCCTCTCTTATCATCATCATCATCATCATCATTATTAGTATAATGATTAGATTAGTTAAACAATAGGACAACTCTTTCTCCTTTCTCAATGTGTATTTAGATTGGATTTTACCAGCGACGGGAATATATTGAATAATTACATTTGGGCAAAGCTTTTTCTTGTTTTTGTTTTATTTTTTATCTATTGAAACTGCCCGAAATGTCTTCACAAAATTATGGCCACCATTTATGTCTTATATTATTGAAAGGAAGAGATGAGAATAGCCCGACATATATTTAGTACCTCAACTAGAACTGACTTTTGACTTGAAGGGCATATTATGCACAAAGCTGCAAGTCCAATAGATACTGCAATCTATCATTGCCATGAAATGATTTCTGTGGTTGGCCAGCCAATTGTGATATTTCAGAGAATCATTGTTACAAAATCTTGAGCCACAGAGCCACTATCTAATGACCTTTGATTGTTATGGCATAATAAGCATGAGCAATTCCTTTTCATTCATCAAATAAACTTGCCTAAACTCAACTATATTTGATTAGTGTAATTACTTCTGCAATAATAATATTAAGCTGCATTTGCTTTTATATTTTCTTTTTAATGAAAAAAAAAAAGAAAGAAAGAAAATGCAGCACATGCTCCCACGGCAAAAGCAAAATATATTTCTTTTAAAAGGTAAAAGTATATCTCTTTTGAAAAGCTCAGTTAAAGGTCTTCCCTTTGCCTTTTTGTTTTGGCTTAAACCATGAAAGAAAACTTGAAAAAGAAAGAGTTTCTTAACCCCAAGAAATTTAACCCTCCAACTCAAAAAAAAAAAAAAAAGAAGCTTTGAATGTTTCTGCATAAATGGAAAGATGCTTTGCTAGCTCGTCTTAATTCTGCGCCCCATTGGGGGATTTAACCCTCAAGCTCCAAAAAAGCTTTGAATGTCTCTGCATAAACGGAAAGATGCTTTGCTAGCTCTTCTTAATTCTGCGCCCCACTGGCCCCAATGGGGCGCTGATTCTTATGCAGAGAGAGAGAGAGAGAGAGAGCGAAAATATTGTTTTTGAATGGAGTTTGTTTGTGTCTGTGTGTTTGGAGACCTTGAGAGGGACGAGTGAGTCTGTCATTAAGCCTTACAACTATGGCACTGAAAAACATGGCGTTTTTACATTTACATTTATATGAGAAGACCACAGATAAAAGGACTATCTGATTCCTTTCTATCTCTCTCTCGTCGTTTTGAGTTGATAACTTTTTGAAAGTTTTTGTAGGCTATAAATACTGGTCAGCAGTACTGTAGTCTGTATTAATGGTGTGAGAAGGGTCACCTTCATTTTCTGACCTAGGCATGCAGACATATTCACATAGTCCAAATAGAAAATCCAAAACTACTAAAAGTTTGAAGGAAAGGGGGATATGATGTTCTCTGAGATCATTCAATGAAATAGTTACAGGGTAGAAAACCTAATGGACAACTCATATTCAGCATTAAAAAAAAAAAAAAAAGAAGTAATACTATATGGTATGAAAGGAACAACTCCACAAATTTGAAGCAGCAAATTGAAACCCATTATCATAATTTCCATTAATTGCCAAATTAACGAACAAATAATAGCTTCACACATACTGATTGATAATACAAGTACACCTCACTAATCCACTTGAGATTATAATCACAACACTCACTTGGTATATGATCAATAGATAGAAGAAGAAAGAAGAAAAAAATATAAGAAAAAGAGAGGTGGATGGATGGGGCCAATATGAAGAAACAAATACATAGCTAAAGAGGATGATTAATTATTTCATCGGTTAAAAGTTTTTGCTAGACCATTTCCATTATTGTGCTCTACTTCACCTTCTGTTATAGCTGATGAAATGTAACTGAATACCAAAGAGTTCTGATCATCTGTAGGTGTTCTTGCATGGAACTTCTGTTTGCAAGCATGGCAAGTGATTTGTAGAATAGTGGAATGGATCTGCTTTATTGCATGTTGTCTCAAAGCTTGTGCTTTGTCTAACTCAGCTTGAGCTTGTTGCCTAATTCTCCTCGCATTGGCAAATTCTTGTTCTGCCAATTCAATCTGTCTTTTAGCCGTTTGTCTTGCCTCTTCAGCATAAATCTTCTCTGCCATGGCCACCCTTAACTGCTCTCGCGCTTGTTCTTTAAGCCTTGAAGCACCCAATTCAGGTTTTGGACTATTATTGCTCTCTCTTGGAGAGCTTTTGCCAGCATGATCTTTTTTTGTGTAAGTAATGTTTGATTCATTTCTGTCACTAGCATCACTTGACCCAATTGAGAGCTGCAACTGAGTGGAATGATTATCATCTCCTTTAGGAGAAACTGAGACCTCAAGGGGGTTTCTTGAAGTAGTTGAAAGCTGAAGCTCCAAATTATGGTAGTGTGCAGCCCTTTTTGAAGAATCCGTTCTATCCACGACATTAGTAGTAGTAGCAGCAGCAGCAGCAGTAGGGCTCAAGAACATGGCATGATCAGTTGTTGTTGGCCTTGGTATTATCAAAGAAGGCCAAGGAGCTGTACTAAAATTGGTATCACTAGAAGGGCTTGGACTTGAAGCAGTTCTAGACAAGCATGCAGCTGGATGTAGTGACTGTGATTCTGATCGGAGCCGCCCCATATCGCAAGAATCTTGGTGTTCTATAAAACTCTCAACTCTAAGAAAAGAAACGGAAAAAAAAACCCTTTTAGCACGTAGAAAGACAGAATGATAGTTTTATTGAACATCAATTGATCAAATTGAACCAGATGTCATGCTCGTACGTTGTTGTAAGAAGATACTTAAAAAGGGTTTTGATCAATGGGTCCTTATTGATGAAAGAAAGAGATCAAGTCATAAGTGCATTAAACGAAGAGATAAAGAATTGAAGTAGTCATAAACTAATCCTTTATTGACTTGGATTGAAATAGTGGAAGAAGATATTAATTAAATAATGGAATAAAACCATGTTTATCACAACTGTAAGCTAATCATTTACAAGAATAGTTATAGTTAGATGAGAGTGGGAAAAAAAAACTGTTTTTGGGTTTTGAGCAGTCGAAGAAAGGAATTTGAAACAAACAGGAAAAAAACTGATCTTCGGAAACCGTGTCCTCAACAACGGTCAATAAATACCAGTACTTAAAAACTGGATTGATTACGGTTCCATCAATCCAAAAAAAAAATAACTACGCAAAGTAGATCAGTACTAGTATCCCAGCCTGTACTTTTTCTTCCAAAACATTTTTCATGGATTTAGAAATTTGATAATTAAAAAAAAAAAAAAGACCCTGAAAATTTTATCATAGATGGATCCATAATTAATAATGAAGAATATAGTTACAGAGAAATTAATTAAAAAAACTAACCTGGAAAAAACACGGCCGCAATCACAAGAATGTCCACGGGTGCCACAGGTTTTGAGATGAGCTTTATAATCAGATTGAACAGCATAACCTTTAGAGCATTTTTCGCAAACCCATTGTTTGTGATTGCTATGTTTTCTTCGAAAATGCTTCTTTATCCCAACAAGATCACCAAGCGCGTGACAAGGGTCATGGTGCAAGCAACTAGGCTCTGGGCATACAAATACTCGCTTTCTTACAACTGGGGTCTCTCGCTTTAGTAGCTTCCATGGGACCTTATGCCTTCTTCTATGCATCTGTAGGTTTTGGTCTCTTTGAAACCCTTGGTTGCAGATCTCACAAACGTAACGATCGGATTCCAATAGTGTTTTTGGCGATAAAGAAACAACCTCTGCATCTGGATCTATATACACCAAAACGAAATGAATACATACATATCTATATATATACCTAGAAACATATATATGACAAGAATTCAAGAACAACAAATTACCTGGTGTTCCTGCTGGCCTTCTTTTCCTCTTGTTATTGTTATTTCCATTTTCCAAGCAAGAAAATGGCTCAGAATTAGAAGGAAGTGTAGAGGGACAGCTATTGGCTAACATGGGTTAATTCTTGTTGATTCTATCTTGAGTGTTATGATAAAGAAGCAAAGAAACAATCTTTTCTTTATCTCTCTCTTTCTAAGTTTTGCTTTTCAAGTGCTATAGAGAAGTGGGGAATTAAGAGAAGAGAGAGAAGAGAAAAGAGAGAGAGCTTAGCTAACTAGCTATAGTAGAAAAGAAGAAAGGAAGAAGAAGAAGAAAAAAGCTATATTTACTTTGGTCTGCTTTGGTTTGGTTTGCTTTTCTTTCGGTTATGATCAGCTTTCTTTATTATCTCAGCTTTCTATCAGCTTTCTTTCCTTTCCTTTCCTGCAACACTCATCTTCATCAGGTATTGTTTGTAGAGTCTTCTTAATGAACTTCTTAAAAAGAAAAGAAGGAAGAAAGAGAGAAAGAGAGACAGAGACAGAGAGCCAATCACATTGATCGAAACTTGATCCCACAACCAAAAATATGGGCCAGAAAGGGCAAAAAAAAAAAAAACATCTCCACAAAGAAACAACAAAAGACTCATAATTATTTGGCTTCACAAACAGTAAAATTTTTGCATGCATAAATACATGGTCTGGGACTTGGAGGAGGACATATCTCTCCAAATACACGTAAGCTTCCTATTTTTGTCCCCATTTTATATCTTCTTCTACCACCACTATTCGCTTACTTGAAGGGACTTGAAAGATTTTCATTGACCAAAGTGCCCTTTTGTTAGACTTTACAGCAACTCTGATTAATCATGGATCTGAAGCAGCTTTTTTAAAAGGTGATGCTGAGGATGGGAAGTCACCCTCATGGGTATATTAGTCAAATCAAAACTTATCTTAATTATGGATCTGAAGCAGCTTTATATTAGTTTATGTTCGAGATTAAACATTACTTTTCCTTCATAAAGGAAATTGATAGAGAAACAGTAGAACTATATACTATATTCATTGTTTTTTTCCTTCTTTTATATATATATATATATATATATATATATATGAATTACGTATCAATCAATAAACATAGATAAAAGTGATGAATAGACAGTTTTGATGCACAAAAATTGATCACACGTACCATTTGACTGCAAAATAAAACAAAAAGAAAAGGAGTGACATTCAGCTAAATAATCAAAATTAATTTCAAAAAGTTTCTTCAAATTTTTCATGTTAAATTAATTAACTTACAATGTTTTGAGTTTATTTTGCACTTTTTATTTATTTATTTATTCTCAACGGAAGAAAATATAATTTTAATTAGATAATTTGAGATTTATAACTAAAACAATAAAAATATTTATCGATGAGATAATTAATGAAAGTAGAGGTTTCATCGCCCTTTTATTTGAACAAAAAAAAATAGTTTTAATCGACGTATAAACTGATCTAAATATAGGGTTTATTATTGAATAAAAATATAAACATATGATAAAATTTTAATAATCAAAGCCTAACAAATACATGTGGAATTCATATACTTGCATGTACTACATACGTAAGATTGGAGTTGATCCTTCCAAATACATAGATTAATTCCAATGCCAAATGGACGTAGATTTTTTTTTTTTTTTTGGTAATAAAAAAAAAAGAAAAACACTTTGGCAATTCAAGATACAGGCGGCGTTGAGGGGTGCATAGCATCATTGTATGACACGTAGCACCTACACACGAGTATACCATGTCAATGGGCCCCCTGATTTAGGCCTTTTCTAGTCCCAATCTTGGCCCATTTGAAATGATCCCCTGCATGTCGCCCAAATAATCAAAACTAACTAGATTCATCCATCTTGAATCTTGATCCTCGTATTGCGCGAAAGAAAATTGAAGCGGCTTAAATGGATGGTGGAGATAATGTGGCGCAAGGTAACATAATGCATGGAATAGTCTCTCCAATGACAAAAGAATCTAAGTAAAGGGCATACTCCGACACAAGAAATGTGGCCTCCTGTTTGGTGGCTGCCGGGGGAAAGATTGGGACCCACCTCAATTCTCTACCATAATTTCACCACCTCACCTCTCCTCACCACACCTATCAACTTCATCTATATATGGATTAGTATAATGAAGTTTGCGAGAACCATATTTGGTAGTATATATAGCATTTGGTTTTAAAAAATATATACGCATAAAATAATCACCAAACCATGAATATATATACATATATAAATCCAAGCAAATTATAAATTAGTCCCTATAGTTTTGTAAAATGAATTAAACAGTCTCTCTTAATTTAAAAACTAATCATTTAGGCTCTTAACTAGTATTGATAATAATTAATTTAATATTAGTTTGTTTTTATATTTATTAAAATAACAAAATAAATTAAAAAAAATAAAACATTAAGTTACATATAGATTTAAGAAGATAGAAACTAATTAATTAGTGATTGAAATTAAATTCTTTTTGAAAAACTAAAAGGACTAATTTATAATTTACACACACAAAGTTTCATGTCCTTTTTCTTTTTCTTTTTTTGGAGAGAGAGAGAGGGAGAGAGGGAAAAGAGAGATCTTCGTTGATGGGTTAGTGGACGTAGGTTGATTAATTATGTTTATAAAAGAAGAGAAGTAGTACCATAAAAAAAAAAAAAGTATATTAGTTTAGTCATTAGAGTTAAACAAAGTGTGATTAATAGATTCGGGATCAAGAACACAATTGGGGAAGATGATTGCAAAGGACATTCACTTGTGAGGCTGCATGTGTTCGAGAATCCTACTCCCATCATCCCCCCATTCCTTCCAACACAATAAACTATATATTATATTTATTATAATTAGGTTAAGCAGCTTTGCTTTTCATTCTCATCATTATTATTAATTATATATTCTGTTTCCATAGTGAACAAAGTAGCCGCAGACAATTTCTCTATCTTCATTGGGTTGAGATGGGGCCTAGCTAGTAGAGCAATTAACCTTATTTAGTTGGGCCGGCCCGATCCCTAGACATTAATATGTATTAATTAATTAAGTTATATATATGTATATATATATATATATATATATATATATATATATATAAAGTGTAATTAAAGAAAATGAAGATGGTAACTTTCGGTCTTGAGCCAAAAAGGCTACTAGAGGGAAAAACAATGTGTTCTTTCTCTCGTGCAATGAAATTGAAGCCATGTCGACATTTTTGTTTTGTTTTTGTTTTTGTTTTTTTTTTTAAGTGTAAGCAAAGAGAAATTAAAAGTGAATTTCTCATGGGTTTAATGGCATATTTTGCCTCATTTTATTACGATTTAACGATTTAGAACCTATAGTATTAAATTAAGTAATTTAAATTTCTAAATATTGGAGATTGAGTAAATGTAATCTAAATTATTTAATCCATATTATGTGTAACGGCCAACTATGTTAATTGTTATTTGAAATGCCAAAATGATGTTGTTTTGACAAAATGATGTTGTTTTGACATTTCGCTGTTAATTATTTTTTTAAATATATTTTAAAATATTTTTAACCTCCCGATCTTGAACTTTTTTAACTTTTTTTAAATTATATAAAAACATTTTATAAATATTTTTAACCCCTTAATTTTGAATTTTAAATTTTTTTAAATGCTATTGTAAAAAAAAAAACATAATTAACAATACATAATTTCGAGCTTAAAAAAATATTTTATAAATTAAAACGAGCATAATTAAGGGTTGACCCTTTAATTTTATAAATTAAAAAAATATTTTTTATAAAATGTTTATAATATATTTTAAAAAGTCCAAAATTATCTGGGTTAAAAATATTTATAAAATTTTTTATATATATAATTTATAATATTTTATAAGAAAAAATTAAAAAAATTCAAGATTAGGGGTTAAATTTTTTTTTAAATGTTTTTATTTAAAAAAACATAATTAACAATAGAATACCAAAACGATATCTTTTTGACATTTTAAATAACGACAAACCTGGATTGATCATTACACATAACGAGAGATTGGACAATTTGAATCATATTTATCCAATTTTTAATATTGCGAAGTTCAAATTGTGCCATTTGATATTATAAATCCCAAATTGTCAAATCGTTATAGAATGAAGGCAACATTTGTCATTAAATCATTTATCATGTGGGAATTAATCTACACGTAGTTAATTAACTTGAATCTGTTTTGCAATTTTGGTGTTTGTGATACGTACTTAGTACCTTATAACTCAATTTAAATATCAAATCCAAGAGAGCATTAAAGGGATAACATTTTCAATTACTAGATTTGAAGGATTTTATTAAAACACAAAAAATTGCTAGATGTGGATGTACTTTTATTCAAAAAATTGAAATCTTTAAATAAGAAGTAGTAAATTATGTCAATGGATTAAAGGAGCTTAAGAAGTAAGGCCCTTTTCAATGAATTCATCTTGATAAGTATCTACGTGAACCCTAAATCTTGTTCAAGTACTAAGTAGCCTTTTGTCATGTGCCTTCGCATGTGATCTGTATTGATACTGTTTTTTGGCTTTTTAATGTAAATACTTTATAAGCAAAACTCTCAAAAAGTTATTTTGATTTATTAAAATACACCCATTTGTTAGTTGTTTCTTCATCCTTTGATTAATAAAAAATTAAATAGATCAATTTTATTAAGGCATAAACAATAAATAGATTGGCTTTTGATTACAAATAAAAATCTACGTACATTGTTTATTGTTTGTTTTTGGCAAAAACTTCATTATGCCAAATATGAAATTAAAAAAGATTTCTATTACCAATAACACCAACCATTTGTATTTATTCTCAAAAGAAAATAAAAAATCTATCAATTTTATAATACACATTCATACGCATGCAAATTTATAAAATATTTGAAATTGTGAAGTACCAAACATGCAAAATCTGCATGAGAATAATATATCTTTTACGATATCTACATATCAATTTTCTCATGTGGAGATTAATTTGTTATTAACGTTAGATTATTCACGTAGTATAATGAAATTTATAAAAAATTCATTCACAGTTTGGCTTGAAATTTGATAGCAAAAATAAAAACATATATTCTTAGTCATTAGATCTAAAATTAGA